CGCTGAGGCAACACGAGGCAGACAAATTATTTTGAATGGACTTTGACCTTCCCCCCTTTAAGAACAATGCTAATCGCTGCAGTTTCCTTTGTTGTTTGAATCAATGTCTTCACCCACTTCAGCACTTCTACTTATGTACTGTAACATCGACGTGCACCATGGATGGAAGTATTTGGAACACAATGGATAGACATGCTATGCTGGTGGATTGGCTCGAGAAGATCATTCTGCCAGGGAAGATGGAGGGTCAACAAGAACAGAATGGTTGGACAATGTCGAGGAGACAACATTCCACCATCTAGATGAGATCGTGGGAGGCTTGGAGAAGAGGCGACTTAATGAAGTCATCATATGTCGATTGCATGTATTACTTTTATGCAATTAAAAAGTATTTACACAAATTGAGAGAGTCTAGATCTATGAGTGTGGCGCTATTGTTCTGTTTAGATATTTAATTTCAAATTGAAAAAACTGGGGCATTCGTTGATGATTTAACTCCAAACTACTCCTGAAAAACAAATGACATGAAACAAGATCTTTTACTGAACCTCTTTTCAATCCTTAGCGCTCGTCAAGGACAGGAACTTCAGTCATCACGTATAATTGGAATTATGTAAATATGTTCGGAAGTGTTTTTTATAGTTAGCGTCTTCAAGTCACGTTTTTCCAACATGGGAATGTACCCGGGTCATATTCTGTTATGATTCATCATTCGGTAGATATTGAAAGAAAAGGTGTTACCAGCTTCTGAAGGGATGAATCAATTGAAGTTGTACCTGACATCTTGATAAACTCTTTATGCAAAATTGGGAAGTCCACACAAAATTGAACATTACGAGAATCCACATTTAAAGGTATCATATATAATGGATTGGTGATATTTCTTTTAAACCACTATTCTTTTTTTAAAAGTGTATGGGGCAAAAAGTTTTGTTATTTCCGTCTGGAAAGTTTTATTTTAATATAGCGAGAAATTATGTTTTCATTTGCGACAGTGTATATTTCCTCAGACTGTCTTTAAACGTTTGATAGAGTGTTGCGTCTCTCATATAATGAGAGCACAATGACATCCTGGTAGAGAGCCGAGTTGTTGGACGGAGTATAGCCTTCTCCAGACATCCGACAATCCACTTCTAGTTGGAATAACCCAACACGTGCCTTTACGGGTGGCGTGCATCTCTCGTGAGAGTCCGCCTATTATCACGTGCGAATACGCCTAGTCTCTTTTGGAAAAAAAGTCTCTCATTGGAGGTTGTTAGGTTATGTTATTTTTCATTTTACAAAAGGTCGCGCTCAGGAGGCGGTTGTTTTTCAGAAGGGTCCCCATTAAAGATACTGTATGCATTTATACGACGTATATGTAGGTAAGTAAAGTCAGATATAAGACACCCATCAAGATATGTGAGGGGAGAGAGAAAGAAATCAACGTACAGTGTACGGAGGAGTCCATCATCAAGACCAGTGAAGGAAAGGAGGGAGTCCAATGTACAATGGACGGAGGAGAACAGCTCCAAGACCAGTGAAGGAAGAGAGGCCAACGTACAGTGTACGGAGGAGCTCATCTGCAAGACCAGTGAAGGAAGGGTGGGAGGCCAACGTACGGTGGACAGAGTAGCCCAGCACCAAGATCTGTGAAGGAAGGAAGAGAGGCCAACGGACAGTGGACGGAATACAGAACCAAGATCTGTGAAGGAAGGAAGAGAGGCCAACGTACAGTCGACACTAGAGTCCAGCACTAAGATCTGTGAAGGAAGGAAGAGAGGCCAATGTACGGTGGACGGAGGAGCACAGAGCATTCTCCCCTCCCGCTCGGCCATCCGGAAATATGTTGTGTCGTTGTTGTTCCTTTTGTCTCTTTTTTTCCGCCACGTTTTTTTTTTACGGCGACAATTTGTCAGAATTTTTGGAGATGATGGCCGCCGCTCTCACTCCCGTGTTTCCACCCACTGCCGGCTCTTGTCTATGGACGTTAGCTCCAGGTGTCCTTAGCCCAGAATGCAATTATATATTGATGCTATCTATCGGTTGAAGATACGATATGGTATCGTTTTAAAGGTAATAAGGGGACCAACAAAATATAAATATTTTAAAGAAAATCCTTTGATAGAAGAGTGACATTATTAAAGAATTAATATCGCTACCTTTTTTCCATACTATCTTAATCAAGTGAGATGCCAAACAAATAAAGTAGCAAAATACCAAGTGGTAAGTGATAGTTTTAAAACCAAATAAATGTATTGAAAAGTTGTATATATCTAATTTTTGTGATGTTGAGTTTCAAAAAAGATCATGTTAATTTAGAATCAATCGTAAAATACGAGAGAATCAATCGTTAAACTAAGGTTTATTTTAATGCATTCCGGTTGAAGCTAACATCTTGGTTGAACCATTCAATCTATAACAGCCAACTATATTTTCCATATAGGAGATCCTACTCTAGTCTCCAGCTGTAAAGGTTAAATTTTAGAATTTTTTCCTATTTTTTTTTTTGTAACTTTTAAATATTCTGCTTAATATTGCTACGTATAAAAATAAGAGAAAACAGAATTTTCAAAGATTATTTCAAAATCTATGCATAATTCTGAAGACTATGAAAGTATAATTGACACCAACACTCAATGGTAAAAATGAGGTATCCATTCACTCCTAAGCACAAAAATAACATCCCGATAATAAAATCCCACCACATTTAGCAACGTTCTCCGATTATTTCTTCCTGTTCAACTACAAGATTTCCGCAATGTCTTCATCTGCTCCATCAGCTTCCTTAATTAGGTTGGTAATAACTTTTAGTTGAAAATTCGCGTCAAGGCTATGAATTCATTACCATATGTTTGCAGATTTCGACATATTACAAAAAAAAAAAAAAAGGAGAAGCCGCAACTCTTTTTATTAATTCATTAAAGTAGCTTTAAGGCAAGCCCTTCCTCAGCTAACTAAAACATGTTTAAACGCGTAAGATTCTTTTTGAAATTAAACAATTTCTACTGCCCTTACTGCAATGGAAAAAATAATGGGAGGGCCTGGCTCATCAGTGGTGAACCCTCCCAGCGGTTTCGCCAGTTTAATCTACCATACCGCTGTTATATTGCATTTTTGGAACTTCCTTTTATAGTGATACTGTTCCAAAAATGCAATATAACAGCGGTATGGTAGATTAAACTGGCAAAACCGCTAGGAGGGTTCACCACTGATGAGCCAGGCCCTCCCATTAATTTTTCCAATGCAGTAAGGGCAGTAGAAATTGTTTAATTTCAAAAAGAATCTTACGCGTTTAAAATAGTTTCGAATTTTGATAACAGATGGCGCGCTAGTGCATCATATTATAAAACATGTTTTGGTTTTCTGAGGAAGGACTTGCCCGAAAGCTACTTCACAATCAATAAATAAAAATAGTTGCTGCATCTTATATATATATTTTTGTAATAAGTCTATGAATACCAGGTCATTCTTTTATGTATAAAAGAAACATACGCGCTTTTAAATTCTTTTATTTTATATGTATAGATGGCGCGTTATTGCTTTGTGTTAATTTATTCCTAATGGCCTTGTCTTTATAGTTTGCTGAAGAGCATTGCTCGAAGCAAATATTTGAATGTAATTCTACTGTCCTATAAGCTTATGTCCATAATTTACTTGGAAACCATTTCTAAGATTCCATCCTTCAGTGTAGCATATAAAAGCAGAATGATCCAATACAGTATTAGAGCTCTGAGAAGCGGTCTGGTGGATTAAATTGGCGAAACCGCTGGGAGGGTTCACCACTGATGAGCCAAGCCCTCCCAATATATTTTTTTCATCGCAGTAAGGACAGTAGAAGTTCGTTTTATGTATAAAAGAAACATTCGCGCTTTTAAATTATTTTATTTTATATGTATAGATGGCGCGTTATTGCTTTGTGTTCATTCTGCCCTTGGTTTGGAATAGGAATTTTAATTCTCCTAGATGAACTGTTATTTCTGACTTTGGATTTGATATTAGAAGGCTAAAATCTACCTTGTCATTGTATTGTCTTGTGGTTTATGTAGTATTTTATAGGGTCAATGGATCTACACTCATGGACAAAACTTAAGGAAGTTTTACCTTTTAGTATGTATATCGGGATTCATACAATTACTCTGATAGATATTTGATACAGTGACCTTTATTGAAGACACGTGATAACCAAGTGTGAACAAAATTACCTCCGTCTCCTTAAAAAAAAAAAAAAGTAGACGATCGGCGACACAAAATATGAAACTTCCTTAAGTTATGTCTATGAGTGTATATATATCTATTTTATTTGGTATTCTACCCCAGCACAGATTCTCGCGGCCAGTTGTTCATCAAGAGGGGTGGCGCTGAGAGAAATCCTTTTAATCCCCTCCCCTGAAATTGAATTATTTCCGCGCAGTTATTAAAAGAGAGAAACGGAGAGATAATTTAATAAAAGTTAACATCAATCCATCTATAAGATTAGTTCGATGTTTTCTGGGAGGAGAGAGTCCATCTTGGGCTGCCAGGTATGTGAAGTGGAGAAGAACTATCTGTTGTATAACGAATAAGTCCGTTCTGTAAAGTTCATGTACAGTGTGTGTGGAATGGTAGAGGTAAAACATTTGTGTCTGATAGACTCTTGGATTAAGCATCTTTCTGAAGATCATTTGTTGGTGGAAGTAGATTCAGAGAAGAACACATCAATCAATAGTTTAACTCCCGACGTTTCTGTAACTTCCTGTCACTTTCTTTTAGAATTTTACTAGAAGAATGACCCGGCTTCGCCCTAGAAATCCCCCGAGTGAAGTATCCTTCATACTGAAAGTACATCAATAATAAATAGTAGAAATGCCATAGAATAGCAATACAGAAGAAACATAAACTACAGGGAAAAAAGTGTGTAATGGCAAAAATTGTATTATATTAGTGTTTAGCTATTTGATTTAATTATTTTTTGCAATCCATTTAGTTGTTTCAAAATTAATATAATTTAAATAAATGAGTTTTAAAATTTGTAAAAAAAAAACCTAGGCCGGGAATCGAACCCGGGCCGCCCGCGTGGCAGGCGAGCATTCTCGACATTGAACTACCGATGCTTATAAGAAATGGCCATATTTGGGTATTTATTCCATTCACAAAAGCAAACGGTGACAGAATTGATTAAGAATTGTTGCTTGATGACTCTGATACTTGTATATTTCAGAATTTTATACATTTATGAATTCTTTATATATGCAGATACGTGACGTTTTGCATGTATTTCAGAAAACCGTGTATAAATATAAGCATCTTTATTACGTTTTTAAAAAAAGGCGAGCTTGACCTAAACACAAGAATACAATCTGACGAATAGTTGCATACAAATACTTGTCAGCTTGTAATTGGAGCCCGTAATACAGTTTTAGGCTCGAAATATCGCCTTTTAAAAAGTGAATGATAAAGATACCTATTGTAAGGTACAATCATGGGCAAAATTTAAGGAAGTGGAAAGTCTTTGATGTCTTTTTTTTTAGGAGACAGAGGCAATTTTGTTCAAACTTGGTTATCTCGTGTTTCTTCAATAAAGGTCACTGTGTATCAAATATCTTTCAGAGTTAATGTCTGAATCCCGATATGCATGCTAAAAGGTATAACTACCTTAAGTTTTGTCAATGAGTATAGATCGATTGACCCTATGAAATAGAAAAGGTGCTTTTTTTTTTAAATCTACTAATACCATCCTTCCGCACATATTTTTTATTGTCTATTATTTTATGTGAATTAATGGGGAATTGTTTTGATCAAAATAGTCATCCACACGTTTGTCTATCTTTATTGTCTACGTTAATAAGATATACACACAAAAACCTTTATTACGACACACAGGTCTTACAGAGGATTCTCCTTGGGGTTACAAGACAGAGAAACCTATGAAAGTGGGAAATATACAAAGGGGTAAAAATGGAGAAAGATTATATACACATGATAAATATATACAGATTATTATTTGAATGATCATATAAAAATAAGAATATGGATTTGAAAAAAAAAAAATTTTTTTTTTGGAAATATGGATGGAAGAGAGAGAAGTGGAGAGCGAAAAGAGGAAAAAAACAGGTATTTACATATGGAACATACATATAATGGAACAAGTCTTAAACTCTTTTGCTCACACAGCACAGGTGGACCATGGCTTTTTTCAAGAAATCTTTAAGAGATTTTCCAGGAAAATCCGAGTGTTCAGAGTTGTAAGGTACGTTAATAAGATATACTTTAGCTTTAATATCTCCCATGTGTCTATATGAATGCTTCCCAGATACTTCTTGAAGCCTAACATCATTTTTTTAAATTTTATTTTAACTGCGTTAAATGGGGATTTTAAAATGAGAGTTTAAATGTTGAAGATCAACTGTTATTCTGGAAGTTTGTTTAGAAAATATATGGCTATATATCTCTCAACCAATTTCTTATTTAACTCCTGTCGTTTTAGTGACTTTCTGTCACACTACTCTGGGAAATGATTATTTTGATTCCTAATTTTTATACGTATATACACGATTTTCTAATATACTTAGATGTGTATATTGGTTGCTTTTTTTTAAATCTTGTAAAGTCTTGTTAAAGCCCTTGAATTGTACACGTTTTACTTGTAACTTATTTAACAAGTAAATAGTATCCTCTCTTTTTTCCCTTCCAGGCATTTATGGCTAGACTGTGTACATGTAAAGTGTCACCTATTTGCATACATCGAAATTTTTTTTTCCACGATATATGCAAATACGTGACGCTTCACATGTATTTTAAAAAATCTTGTACATGATCTGTTTTGTTTAAAGATAATATATCAGTGATATATTATTACTTTACTCTGTTTTGATTTGATAGAATCGAAAGTATATCATCATTATTAAAGACTTTGTTTATAATGTGTATGTGTGCAAGAATTATGAAATAATAAAAATAATTAAAGTAGCATTAAATGTGGTATATTTTATTTTTCTTTTAAAGATATCTAAATATATAAAGTGGAATTTCTTATTAAAATATAACTTTCACTATTAATCTTCAACCTATAATAGAAACTTATCCTCACTGCTTTGTTCTTATGCATACCTCTGGTGAATCCTGTATAGGGTCAGTGACCCTAAATAAAGGCTTTTTTGTTGTTGTTTGTTGTAATAGAAACTTATCAGTATGTATATAAGTAGAAAATAGTATTCAAAATAACCATTCTTCTGAGTATAGTGTGACAGAGCGTCACTATAACTTCGGGAGCTAAATAAGAGAATTGGTTGAGATGTAGCGATCTATTTTTCCAAATAAGAGTTTAAAGTATTTTCACCGCTGTGTGTGATATGAATTTCGAGCAGAATATACAAGGTTATCCCAAAAGTTCGTAAACACTTGCAAAAATTTGAAATAACAATATTATTTATCATAATATTATTCTCTGTTATGTATAATGTCTTTATATTATGTATAAAGTAATTGTATTATGTATGTGTGTTTTTAGTCGGTTATTGAGTTGTATATAATGAATTGTATATAGGTTGCTAAAACAATTTATTTTAGATTTTCTCTTCTGTTTGAGAAAACCATCGTTTCAGTTTTAATTGTGTTTTTAGTCGATTATTGAGTTGTATATAATGAATTGTATATAGATTGCTAAAATAATTTATTTTAGATTTTCTCTTCTGTTTTAGAATACTATCGTTTAAGTTTCAATTATGTTTTTAGTCCGGTTATTAAATTGTATAAAATGAATTGAATATAATCTACTAAAATGTATTTAGGCGCAAGTATCCCGAGCTGGGATATCGCGTCCGATATGTCAAATAAAATAAAATGTATTATTATGTATTCGCCGCGTATTAATATTATTCTCCAAGTAATAAGTGATAAAGCACAATTTGGATTATAGATTATAATACAATAAAATAAAACTCTTAATCCAAATAATTTATTAGTGTGTGACAATGCTGTTGCTGAAACGTCACACACTAATAAATTATTTAGATTAGGTCTTATTTTCTTGTATTCCAAGTAATAAGAAAAACACGAACTTTTGGGACAACCTTATGTATTGCGTGTATATTATGGACAGAATAAAATGGGAGCTATAGGACTGATAATGTTTATTAATAATACCAATGCTACAACACGGCGATGGCTGCAGTCCGCGAGGAGTCCGTTGGCGGCGGGAGCGACGTCCGTTGCGAGGGCGCACCTGTCGGCGTGGTTGTCAGTGTGGTGCGGCTCTTCGTTGGTGCTGCATCTCTCGGTAGGTCGCTTCTTCCTTCCTTCCTTTCTTCAGGTTGTCGATCTTCCCGGCTTGTCACGCTCTGTTGACCTCTCTCTTGTTTTGTTCCTACTTACTTCCCATTGTAGACTCCCCCCCCCCCGACACATACACTATGCCGTTGTCGATTTAGTTCTGATAATCCCGTACATTTTCTCTTTCAACGATATCCTGAAAACAATCATCCTGACTAATTTCGAATCTTACATTGAGTAAAAAAAAAGTCAAAACCTTTCACGATACGTTTCATTCTTTTATTAATATCCTAGTGAAGTGTTTGGTTCAACAATGATGGCTTGATATGCACTGAGGAACGTAAGTTCTCGCCTGGATATTAATAAAAAGGTAACGATTTGCGAAAGGTTTTGATGTCTTTTAATTAATAACTTTAATTAAACAATACTATAGGTTTCTTGAGACGAGTTAATAATAACTTTATCGCAATTCTCCTATATAGATCTATGTACACAACATGTTCCTATGAAAACTCTTGAAATCAGTTTCTTCCATCCATCACACCGTACATTGCCATCAAAGAGCTGGCCACCATAGAGTTTAATGAGAAGGGCCACCTACCGGTTGTTTACCGAGTATCTCTGAAGACAAAAAGGTTGCAGTGCATTAAACTCGGGAGAATAATGGATTCCTCGAATGGTGTTTGGTCGCCATGACAACGGCCACACGTGGGTTCCTCTCACAGCTATTGATCCCCCTCACCCCTACCTACATATTACTTTTACATAGCACTTACCCTCTATACATATGTACCATTTAGTTGCATATCTAAAGATTCTGAGGATGTCTGCGGGGGTTTTGGATAGCTTTTACATAGCAGTTACCCTCTATACATATGTACCATTTAGTTGCATATCTACAAATTCTGGGGATGTCTGCGGGGGTTTTGGGTAGCTTTTACATAGCAGTTACCCTTTATACATATGTACCATTTAGTTGCATATCTACAGATTCTGAGGATGTCTGCGGGGGTTTTGGATAGCTTTTACATAGCAGTTACCCTCTATACATATGTACCATTTAGTTGCATATCTACAAATTCTGGGGATGTCTGCGGGGGTTTTGGATAGCTTTTACATAGCACTTACCCTTTATACATATGTACCATTTAGTTGCATATCTACAAATTCTGAGGATGTCTGCGGGGGTTTTGGATAGCTTTTACATAGCACTTACCCTTTATACATATGTGTGATATCTTGGGGCCTCTGGGACCAGTGTTACCTGATGCTAGACGAACCTCGATGTCAACTCTACCGTGCAGTCGTGGTGGAAGGCGACACAGCTGGGCCAAAGGTGAAATAAACAAACAGAGATTCCACTAAAAGCGTCTGACGTCAAGAAGGAATGGGATGAGGAGAGAGAGACTTTAGAGCAAGTGTTACCGTTGAGTTCCAAGCGAAGACTGACAATTCTAGGTCCTTGATTTAACACCAAGACTCAGTTTCTCTCTGATTGGTTGAGAGATGATCACATGCTTTTTCCCTATTGGTTGACCTATTTAGATGCTTCTTTCCTAATTGGTGGGACTTTTTCACGTGGCCGTAGGCTATTGGTTGACCTACTTAGGTGATGTCTTCTCGCGGCTTTCTTTGATAGAAAATACGTCCTGTCTTGGCCCGGAAATTGGGCGTCACTCTTAGATTTTATGGTTTCCTCGATATCAGATACGCCCTGTCCTGTCAGGAAGTATTGACTTGTAAATTATTTATAGTTGGGCTGGTTTTAAGCCTCTTTTGCTAGGCCTTGCTTCGACTTCTGTCCTAAACCTGATTTGTTTTAACCTTAACTTTCTCCTGTCTC